TCACTCATTCAGACTCACTGCCCACCAGTCAATGCCGACTGCTAGCGACTCTATAGGACAGGGTAGACCTGATCCTGTGAGTTGCTCAGACTGTAACTCTTTAAGGGAGTGGAAAGGCCTGTCTTTCTCCTTGGAGTGGCTGCTGGTTTCAAGCTGCTGACCTGGCTGCCTAGGCCCTGCAGGTCAGAATCAACTGCACACGACAAAAGCCTGGTCATCCCTGGGATTAATCACTTTGTGGAGCAGCTAGAACTTTCACCCCCCACTACAACAGCATACCTGCTGCTGCAGACTCACAATGCCAGCTTTCTTTCTCAGTAGTAGGCTCCATTGACTTCATGGAACATTTCAGTCACTCATTGTAAACAGTACATTTTCCAATTTCCCTGGCCAGGTAGGTGTAATCAACTGAATTCTGGCAATGTGAGATGTAGTCAATTATTTAATATGGCCCTTCTAGCCATAATACCTCTGGTACATTGTAGCCTCTATGCCAATGGCTATAATCCCATTTTGGAGGGAATTCTCTGTTACAGGATTAAGTCGGGATTAATCCTCTGTTACAGGATTAAGACTATATAGTCTCTACTAGAAGATGAGACTTAAGTTTTCTTCGGGGCATGGACTGCTCAAAGGTGAAAGCCGCACCTGTATCCACGCCTCCCCTTTTGTGACCTCTGGTTCCTGGCTGGGCGTTGGTAGAAGCAAGAAAACCTGCTTTGACTTTCAGGCGTATTTGCTTCTGCCTCTTGATCCTACCTTTGACTTGCTCTGCCTGACCTTGGTTGCAACAATGGGCTCACACCCATTGTGGAGATGGCATCGGACCGGCAGTGCTTTGCTCTGTTGTACACAGGGCCACTGAGTTGGAACTGACCCAGCAGCACCTAGCCACACAAAAGGACCTGACTTTCGGATTTGGGACTTTACAACACGCGCAATCACTTGAGACATTTCCTTAAAGGGAGTTTCTGAGAGATGTTTCAGAGTCCAGGGATGTGAGGTAACATTCAAGGTAGGAGTGGGAGAGAAATGGAATTGGTATAACATCTTGGAAAAGTTGGACACTTGGGACATCTTTTATCTCCACTGTCTCGGGACTAGTTTGATATTCTTATAAAAGAAATTATTACCACACCATGGTATATAATTAAAAGCCTTTCTGTTGGAATGTTCCAGGGGGTGCTCCCCCCACCAATGGATTTTTTTTAATGCTATGTATTTAAATGTTTTTACAAAACAACCTTATTACCTTCAAAGTACTCTCCATTATACTTAATACATTTGTCAAATCTGTAATTCCATTCCTAGAAACATTTTTCAAACTCATCTGTTTGGATGGCTGACAGCACCTCCCTTGTTTTTTTTTTTCTTTACCTCGTCTACGTCTTCAAATCATTGTCCTTTCATGTCCCTCTTCATTCACAGAAACAAAAAGAAGTGACACAGAGCAAGGTCAGGTAAGGTACATAGGGCAAGAGAGCCGTGCTGATTTTTGCCCAAAATTGGCACACTGAGATGGTTGCATAAACAAGTGCATTGTGCTGGTGGCAAAACCAGTCCCCCATCTGCCACAAATCATGCCTTTTTTTGCCGTACACTGTTATGCTATCTTTTCAGAACCTCTAAATAGAAAGCTTGATTAACAGTCTGACCAGGTGAAATGAACTCAAAATGCACTATGAATCGACGTTTTTGTCCATTCAGGAAGTTGACAGACATCCAGAATGAGGTTTGTCACAAATCGGCATTTCACCTTTTTTTAAAACCAGAAAACCATTTGTACACTTAAGTTTTCCCCACAGCGCTGTCCTTGTGATATTCAATATCACAAGTTTCTGCGAACAGCAAACAAAATTCACAGCTGCACGCTGTTCTCTTAAATCAGCCATCACAAAATATGAGGTTCAAGTGAAACTGCTTTTACGAAAACATTATGACCAGAGAGAACCTTCCCAGGCGAAGCCATCGGGTGCACTAATTCAGAGTGAGTTGTTTGATGCTCGCCTGGCAGGGAAAATGTGTATTACAAAAGCTCTACTCCGCCCAGCGCAATTCCAGTTTTTTTTTGGGGGGGAGGGTAATCCCTCGTATACTTGACAGTTAAAGTTTCCATCTTCATAATAGGGAAACCATATGTTGAACTGAAGCAGAAAGAGAGAAGTCTACCGGGTCCCTTACTATTTGTGAACCCATTCTTCCACCATGCCACTTCCAGACTTAAGAGAAATACTTTGATTAAAAAAACCAAAAAAACATAAGCCAGTTATTTTGGGCTGGTCTGTGGTCCTATTATACCAAAAAACCAAACTCACTGCCACTGAGTCGATTCTGACTCAGTGACCTTCAAGGGCAGAGTAGAACTGCCCATTGGGTTTCCGAGGATGTAATTCTTTACAGGAGTAGAAAGCCTTGTCGTTCTTGCACAGTGGCTGGTGATTTCAAACTGCTGGCTTTGCAGGTAACAATCCAACAGGTAACCAATACGCCACCAGGGATCCTTTTGTGATCCTGTAAGTTCTTCGTTTTTGTTTGTTTTTTTTTAAGGGAAATCAGATCTCATCTCCTTTTGCTTATTTCCCTCTAAAGGTTTTAAAGAAAAGACCCCAAACAACACTGAGGTAGAAGCAGGTGAGGCAGAGAACATGGCTTTAGGTTCAGGTTCTCAGGTTTCGTCTGGAGGGTAGGCTTCAACAGGTATGGTTTCCAGGGCCCCTGCTGCTCAGGCAGACAGATCAGCAGAGCTGATTGGATGCAGCTCCCTCCTCACGCAATTCTTCTTGATCCCCGAATCTCCTAACGTTTTAATACAATGTCTGTACAAACTACAAATCATTTAACGTCCTCTTTTGCAGAATGTATCACAGATCTTGCGATGCAGTGAATTATTTAATGGGGCTCTTCTAGCCTTTGTTACCCCCACCCAATGACCTTTGTTTTCCTGATGGGTCTGGGCAAGGTTGAGGAAGATTGGTTATGATCTTAACAGGGTTAATTGTGATTGCCATGCTGCTAGGTATAAAACCAGCCATCTCAGATGGAGGAAGAGGGAACCTTACTACCAGTTGAGCGCATTCTTTGGGGGCATGAGACTCCTGCACAGTGAACTTCCTTGATCCAGGAGGCAGTGTTGACACCAGAGCTGTGGCAGATGTATAATAGAGAACCAGGAGCCAGAGCATGAGACGCAGTGGAGGACTTCCCAGCCCACAAAACAAGCCGAGTGCTTTGGGGCAGGCGGCTAGCTTGTGGACTGGATGTCTCCGGGTTCATTGAAGGAGCTGGTTTTACTGAACCACGGAACTGCCAAAGGGGATAAGTGACATCTTAGCAAATGCCAACAGAATGGTGTTTGTGGGAGACCAGGTGCTCCCTTTTCTCCGGCCTTGCAGGTATTGTAAAAACTTGATCACCCCAGGGAAAGGCAGCAGGGGAGATTCTAAATTTACTGAGATTGCATTTCCACTTGGTGGTAGTTACATAATTTCATGCCAACTTGAAGATGTGTAAGTGTAGGGGTAGAGTCTAGCCTGTCAATCAGGTCACAGCCTGATGGTGCCTCTTCATGGGCATGACCTTCTCCTAAGGAGGGTCCTGGGTACCTCCCTTCTCTCTGCCTTCATCTTCCTGTTGGCTGACCCTGATGGCAGCCAGAGTCCTGGAGATGCGTCTACCACCCTTGGCTCCACAAGACTTTGCACCCACTGGCCTGCGATACTCCTGCATTCTGCATCATTGCTCGTGACTGAGTCTGAGAAGGTACTTACGGACTTGTGTTGGACTGAGCTGGGCTATTTTCCTCATCTACAAAGCTTCTCGACAGAAAGCTCTTTCTTACACATGTATGAGTGTCACTGGATTGGTTCTTTATCAACCTGGCCTAAAACACCCTTTCAGAAACTACCAAAAAGCCCACTACTGTTGCAGATTCTGACTCACAGCAACCCTACTGGACAGAGAACTGACACAAAGTCTTTTAAAGTCTGTAGATCTTTATGGAGACAGGTTCTTGAGGAGCTACTATGTCCAGAAAAATCAGCCAAGAACTTATCCTCTGAGAGTTCAGGGCTTCTCAGAAAATAGGGGACTCAAATGAAGTGCAATTAGAAGAAAGGAACAATTCATTTCTTATGTTCCTGGGTTTGTGGATTAAGTACACAGCCCTTATTTCCATTACCCCACATAAGGCCTATGTTTCTTTAAATAGTGGAAGAATTCATATTTTTAGAGAGAATTCTGTTAGTAAATTTCAAAAAGGACTTCTGAAACGTTTAAACTTAAATCACCTGGGGATCTCTTAAAATACAAATTCTGGTTCACTGTGACTGATTTGGGGCATGAAATTCTTCATTTTGAACAAGTTCCCAGGTCAGTGTTGTTGACACTGCTGGTCTAGGCTTTGCCCTTGGAGTTATGAGGCTGCTTACTGTTAAGGCCACCACTGTGCCCACTTTCAATAGATTCCGACTACCAATTTCTTAAATAAAGATAGCTGGAACTCATACCCAAATTGGTCTGTGGTGCAATTTTAAAGTTTTAAAATAGAAAATGAGTAATGGTAGCATATTCAGTCAGAATCAAGTGAGCCAAAGCATAGGTGTGGATAAAAAGACCAAGGTAACTTCCTTCACGGCTTTTTTAACCTGTTTAAGATAACTACTGTTAGGACTAAGGTGGACCTACCCTGCCCTGGTATGCTCAATCACCTCATATGCACGTGAAAGCTGGCCAGTGAACGGAAGACCACGGAGAACTGATGCTCTTGCGTTGTGGTGCTGCAGTCTATCGCATGGTGATCAGAGGAAGGAACAAATCTGTCTTGGACGGAGTATAGCTAGAATGCTCCTCAGAAACCAGAAGGCAAGGCTGTCTCGTGTATTCTGGATATGTCAGGCAAAAGCAGATCCTGGAGAAAGCATCACACTTGTTTGGTGCAGTAGCGGGTCAGTGAGAAAGAGGAAGACCCTCCGCGAGACGGACTGACACAAGGGCTGCAACAATGGGCTCAAACAGAGCAACTATTTATTGTAAGAACGAATGAACATGCTGGACAGAAGTTTACAAGTTAAAAAGTCATTTAAAATTGTATTTTATTTAAAGTTATAAGTATTCCCATTTCCTCGAATTGCTCGCTTGAATCCATCCCACCTCCAAAAGGGAAATGAAATGTGCTCTGAATGGTGCCAGCCCGATTGGTGCGGCCTACAGAAGACCCTCCAGGGTGGTATGGGGGCCCTGCAGAACATCTATAGAAGTGCAGTTCAGCCATAAACCAGCTCTTTTTATCCCTAAACACGATGAGACATTTGCGAATGTTTTTGATTTTGAAAAACAAGTTAAATGTCAAACATGGCAGGGGAATTCACCAACAGACATTCAATAGCCAAGTTATATTATCACTGAACATACTTTATGGCGTGTGTGTTAGGAGGGTGGGCTCTCACCAGTCACAGAAGCACCACTTCCCACATTAATAAGTCGGGGGTCACCAGACCAGGCAGCGTTCGACGTCCTCGACTGCTTCTTCCCTCACTGTGCACTCAGACAAGAGAGCTGCAAGGACAGCGCTCACACTCAACACAGGTTTTCACAGAAGCAGCGAGCGCGGTGTTGTGAGTTACCACGTTCCCGAGACACAATCTCGATATTAATAATGAGGAAATCTTGGACACTCGGATCTATTTACAATGCTTTCACCCTATTCGTTATTTTATAAATCTAGTCTGCATTCTTTCTCATTGGATCGTTGTAACGATCAAGTGAGATCAAGAAATGTAATGGCCTAGTCGATGTCTGGGTATCCAGTAAATATTACACCCAAATTCTAAAATAAATGAGGGTAGTCCTTGAACTTTGGAAGTATTTTATAATGAAAATAAAATTAGTTTTTCCATCCGCATCCTTGTCAGCATAATTATGAATTATTCCCCAAAGCACCTTCTCTTTTATAAAATAAACACTTCATACTATTTGAAGTACATGCAAATTTCATTTTTGTTCAGTGTACCTTACGTTCCATTGTGAAAAGTTATTTCTGAGGAATTGAAACCCCAGAAGATAACAGGACAAAACATGTAAGATTATTTTTTTGAAAATGATGATTCAAAGGCAGGCTTGAAGAGAAGGCTTATTGAGGAATAAAAGAAGGCAAACGCAGCCTCTGAAGGGAACTGTTCTAATTATCACCTAAAAAGTAAAGTCAGACTGCTACATTCAAGGACATAAGTTAAAACAATACTTTGAAAACAAAATTAACTGAACAAGCAAAGAAAAATGAAGTTAAGAACAATTTAAATCTAGACAATGATTAGACCTAGAAGCTTTTGTTATCTGAATATCTTGGGTCACATTATGTTTTCCCTGCCCCCATAATGTCTTCATTGAAACCTAATGAATATTAATCATTTTGTAAAGTTTTAACAAATATTTATCATTTGGTTAGGATTCAAAATTTCAATCCAGTAGCCATCTGGATCTTGAACAAATGCCAGGCCTTTCATTTTACCTGAAAAACAAAATGATTCATTATTAAAAAGACTTAAAATTAAAAAAAAAAATTCAAATGCCTTTTTAAAAATTTAAAACCTTTAAAGAACTCAAACATTTAAAATATATTCTTTATTATTTCAACTCTAATTTTGCATTTCAGTAATAGATTATTTTGCTGAGAGTTTTAATAATTTAAAAAAATCAATTGTCAATGTTGCCCCAAACTATGTTTTTCAGACTGACTTAAATTTTACTTTTAAACGAAGAGCTGGAAACCAATCCTCTTGAACGTAAGCTGTGTAACTGGCTCTCTTCAAAATATCGAGATCTACCTTCCTTTGTGACACTTCCAGCTACCGTTTCAGGAGCCCCAGAGGGTGCTTTATTTTAAAGAGGGGAAAGAGCGGCGTAGAGAAGAGTCCTGGGCATACAGCAGTGGTTCTGAAAGCTGGGGATACTTCCCCTTGGGGGGACAGGGAGAGCATCCAGGAAGACTACAAAAGAAGACAGCTGTACTTCATTCTGCAATGTGAGCTACAGCACAAGCGTTGTTAATTACAAGGGGGTGCCAAGTAATTTTTTTTCTGAAAAGGGGACAGTAGACCAAATAAATTTGAGAACCTGCAGTACAGAATGACATGGCTTATTTGTACAGGTAGCCACCCAGAGGGATCATGCAAACTCTTGCTTACATAAACACTGCACGCTGAAAACCCCCTCTCTCTGACCATTGGAGTCTATCTCTCTCAAACTAGAGTTATTTGGTAGAACATAAAAATGTGAACTTGGGAATTTGGAGACCAAGATGCTGAAGGAGTTTGGCCTTAACTCCTTATCGCAAGCCCGGAGCAGCCACGGAAGGGGAGAAACTCTCAGTGATGTGCGGAGAGGATGAGGAGGGTGAAGAGACGGGTGGCTGTTTTGAACTAGTCTATGTGGCAGTGATGGCTTGGACTAAACACAGTCCCTCAGAGCTATGGGAGAAGAAACAGAACAGTCCCCACAAGGCCTCTGCATTGTGGTATTGGCATCTTTACTTCCACTTGTAGGGTGTGGGGTAGTATTAATAGCAGATAAAAAAGACTTTAATTTGGGTGGCTAAATGCACACACACAATGAGGTAGTGGGGGACTCATGAGCTAGTAAGGGCAGCACAGCAGCTTTGTTATTGTGAGGAGCTGAGGGAACAAGGCGAGCGCTAAGCAATCTCCACGGGCCTCACCGCATGCACCCAGGGTTGGAATTACAATCTACGGAGGGTCTCACTAATACGTCTTCTCTCTGAGGGGCGAAGGGGGTAGAGTTGACTGTCAGAGTTGTTTTGTGGAGTGGGAAGTGTTTAGCTCTCAATTTCAGATCCTAGGGTCCCACCCTGGGTTCATCCAATCATCTTCCTGAGACCATTAGGGCGATTACGATGACTAGGATGATTAATAATGAGGAAGAAAACCATTAAAATACAATGGGTTATAGATTTGAATCATGGAATGTAAGGACAATGAACCAAGAATTTAAAATTTGTAAAAGTTAAGAGCAGTGTGTGATGCATTATCAATCTTCAATAAGGACAAGGAAATATCAAAGAAACCCAGCAAAAATGGGACATGAAAATTATAATAGCTGAAATGATACAAATACCACAAATAGTAAATTTAAAGAAAAATTTGCCAATTGGCATATGTTCGAAGAAATTTCAAGAACGCAAGTGTGAAAAATAATAAATATTAAAAGCTTCCAGCAGGAAACACAATGTGCAAAGAACCAAAAATCAGATGGACAGCAGATCATTCAACAGCAACACTGGATGCAAAAATGCAATGGAGCTGTATTTTCATGATCTAAAGATAGTAAAGCTCGGATTTTATATGCAATCAAACCATCGTTCACAAATAAAGGGATGAGAAAATTATTTTCAAGCATACAAGACTTCAAAATTTTTGCCTTACTTTGAAAACAGTTTTGAAGTATTTAAGTAAAAGTCAGAAAACCCAAGAGATCAAACATATAGAAAAGATGATCAAATACTTTAATATACTTATTGTTATTAATAATAAAAAAGACCACGACTAGAGAAAAAGAAATAAATCTGTAACATTCTGGCTTTAGTAACCGTCACATAGCAGGTGTGGGTGATATCAAGTTTTCTTCTTACTGGGGAGAGCTGACTTGGCTATTAAATAGATAAATAAATAAAGATAAAAAACTTAACAGTGTAGGTCATTGAAATAATGCATTAAGATGGCAGGAGAGCCCAATCCCAACTACTAAGTGGACACCTGCCCCTCCCC